CACGTTGTAGATTAGCTTGTGCGTGTGTTTCCAAAGAGTCCACGGTTAAGCTACAAAATAGTACTTTCAAGTAGGAGCTAAAGTAAATTTTTAGAATTCAAGGGTGGAGTAAAAAAATATAATGTCATCAAAGTAGGTTATTACTGGTCTATGTAGGTGTATAGATCAGCTAAGTAGGTAGTAAATTATCCTTAGAAGTGTCAAAATAGTACCAAAATTTCGACTCTGGATACACCATAGTAAAAATGCTAAGAGTGAATAGCTTTGTCTCTTTCTAACCGTCCCCTTAGGAAGACACAAAGTCTCTCGCTTTTAGCATTTTCACTACACAGGGTGTTATGTATAATACCCGCCTCACCTTTTATTTACGGCTGGAGCGGACTAGACCGAGTCGAAAAGTACCATTTTGCAATTTTCACAATAGTTAACGAGTTGTTAATTATTGAAGATTGTTGCGTTAGCCCGGCCTACCGCCCAATTCAAACGCGCGGCGAGGTGCGGCCGTCCCGCGCTCTATGTCTAGTCCGCTCTATCTGTAAATAAGAGGTGAGGAGGGTATTAACACCCTGTATTGTACGATACAGAATTGACCCCCTGAGCAAAGAGATTGCCGTAACCGCGTTCACGGTTCCGTCGTAAGACGTAAGTCAGTGTCGTGAGTCAACGCAGAAAGAATCGTACGTCGCCTCGCGACGCAATGCGAACTGTCTACGATTCTTTGTGCGCTGACTCTCGACGCCGACTCAACGTGTCTGAATCGTAAACGGTCACGACAATCTTTCTGCTCAAGCCCCGTAGTTTGCGACGCACGTAAGCGACCCGGGCCAGAAGCGCCGGGCACTGTTGACTGACAGCACCCCATCCGTATACAGGCAATATGTTTATACTAGACTGATAATGAATTCATGCTGCGCGTAGGGCAAAGCTACTTGGCGAACAGGTTGCAGGAGCATTACGGATCGGTTCGCACAGATGCTCTTTTGTCGGCGGATGAGTGAGAAGCCCAGGGGATAACGTTGGATGATATCAGATCTGTCGGATCGATATAAGAATCAGGGGAATCGGGGTAAAGTACACTTAGACGCGCGCGCGCGGGCGCGGGCGCGCGTACACGCACAGTGTCTCGCGTGAGTGTGATACGCAGCCGGGGAGATCCCACGGGTCCCAATGGGAAACCATCCACGGGGCTTAATGACAATTCTGGGCTATTCTATATCGCTCAAACGCTCGTTTGCGCTCGTTTGTATGTACGATTATTGGCGCTTAAGCATGTATACCCACAAAATGGCGTGCGCCGACGGCCGGAGTTAAGAGGGCGATCGCGAAAATGCGCGGGGAAACAGCAGGGAGTATCGGGAACATTTCGACAAACGGACAGTCGCTCGCGGCTGATGAATTTTCGGCCCGGTGATTCGCGATCGACGGCCGAGAATGGACGTCGCTAAACCGCGCGCAAACACAGCGTACGGATTTCGGGGACAATCGCGGAGGCGAGGGAAGGTGGAGAATGTGATTCTAATGCAGTCGGCTCGCCTGTGTAATTTATTTTTATCGAGCGTTCCCGTGAAAAAAATCAATGGCAAAGTCAACCCGATTTTAAAATGATGTTCCATTCCTCAAGCAAGTCAAACCCGCGCTACATCACTTTAGCAATAAGTAGAAATGCTTCGCTAAAAAGTGGGGTGCATTTTTATTTTTCTCGCGCGCGCAGCAATCGCGTTATCGGGTATTCGTGTGAAAAAATCGCTGGCAAGGTTCGTCGACTCGATTTCCAAAGTCTTCCATTGCATCAAGCAAGTGAAACGCGCTCTATTTCCAACAGCAATGGAATGGCAGATTTTTTTTACACGCGAGAAGAATTAAAGTGCATTCAACTTTTGGAAATGGATGTTGGCGCCTCCCTCATCGAAAACCGTTGAAAGGGTGGTTTCGGCGGACGCCTTTGGCGTGCTTTGGAGATAAAAGGAGACGCAGACGACGGGGGAAAGGACTCGACGCGGGAGGCCACGTACAGGGCGTGTTATCTATCGGGAAACCCTCCGATTTACATAGTTTAACGTCCACAGCTCGGGACGAAGGTTTCGCAACCGAGCGGCCGCGAGGATAACCGAGGAATGCTGGTGTATCCGAACGTAGGTAACGTAGCATCAATGGTCATGTATCGACTTCGGTTTCAGCCCTGCAAAATATGATTTTAGTCCACGCTGTGCTGACCGTCGGATTAAAACGATCGCGAAATCCTTTTAACAAGAATAACGTAGGGTCCAAGTAAGAAAGCGGCGCATTTTGACCAAGCGTTGCCCCCAAATATGAAGAAATGTTATCAACTTCTTCCTTCTATCCATTTTAACCAATAAAAAGGCCAATTAATATAATTTGTGGCGATTAATTACTGTCGATTTCAGTCTTGTTATCAATCAAAGTGTTGTTAATTGCCGATATAAAGATTTATCCTGCTCGATACTAGGCCAGGCGTACAAAGTAAGATTATTCCTGAAAGAAATTTCATTGCCGCGGAGCGGACGACGGTGACGAAAGCAAGAATACACGTAAACTTACGTGGCGACGGTGATCCTCGCGGACGTCCCTTGCGCTCGGACGAGGATGCGGCTTCGAATGCCCGAGACCGCGTCTCCCACCAACTTTCCAGGGGCGAACTTGCAAGGTAACCGCGCCATTGCGATCTGCAATCATGATATTCGCCTGTACCTATGTGTCTATGCGTGATGCGTTCAATATTTTATAATTACCTGCAGTGTGTCGGCACTTTGGAGCGAGATCTACGTGGCGGTTATTCTCGCGCGAGATTCGCTTCCGCTTGCGGCGGCGATCGCGGGAGACGCGACGCGCCCGCCGAACCCAGGCGGGAAACGGATCGGTGCCGAAACGACGTCGGATCGACGTGAATTCGACGGGGTCGACGTCGGTTCGTTGGCGACGAATTATTTCTCGCTGTGAAAGTCGCCGCGGCTGTCCAGGCAATCCTGCGATTCTCGAAGAACCGACGCGCTGCAACTTCACGCGGTACGCTCCTTCTTCCGCCGAACGTGGAATTCATGCGTCCTGCAATTGAGAATTTTCTTTTTAATTTATGCCAGCCGATAAATCGTACAATACGCGGTCGAGAAATTTTTCAAGCGCTTCGATCTGCTTATGCGAAGCAGAACGTTTCTAGATTCACCTTGTAGCTCGCCAGTGAGAAATGATTCGCCGATCGATGCCGAGTCGACGCGAGTTCGACGGTGATGTCGATCGACGACGTTTCGACACCAATCGGCGATCGTCCGGGTCAGACTTTAAGAGCGACGCGAGCTAAATGCAGTCAACGGGGGCGAGAGAAAGACGGAGGACGCTTAGAAATACCTGGCGACAATCGCGCGACCGACGCGTCTCCCGACGTGTCTCGGCGAGAAGATGGCGACGCTGTGCGCGCGAGGCGGACTTCGAGCGACGCGCTGCAACTTCACGCGGTACGCTCCTTCTTCCGCCGAACGTGGAATTCATGCGTCCTGCAATTGAGAATTTTCTTTTTAATTTATGCCAGCCGATAAATCGTACAATACGCGGTCGAGAAATTTTTCAAGCGCTTCGATCTGCTTATGCGAAGCAGAACGTTTCTAGATTCACCTTGGTCGCCAGTGAGAAATGATTCGCCGATCGATGCCGAGTCGACGCGAGTTCGACGGTGATGTCGATCGACGACGTTTCGACACCAATCGGCGATCGTCCGGGTCAGACTTTAGAGCGACGCGAGCTAAATGCAGCCAACGGGGGCGAGAGAAAGCCGAGGACGCTTAGAAATACCTGGCGACAATCGCGCGACCGACGCGTCTCCCGGCGTGTCTCGGCGAAAAGATGGCGAGGCTGAGGCTCAGCCGCTGAGCGCGCGAGCTCCGGACTTCGAGCGACCTCACCGACGCGCGGGATCGGCTCGCTGATGCCGGGCTCGATACGGCGGAATCGAGGCTGCGTTCGCGATCGCGGCGTCCGACGTTTTGGCGGCAAAAGAGAGAGAGAGGTTCCTTACCTTTGGCGCGCAATTTTACTCCCAACGGCGCGATTTGAACGCGATGCCGCGACCGTCGCGACGCGGGCGGAATTGACCCTAACTAGAGATTCGCGAGTTGCCCGCGGCGCCACCTTCGCGCGGCAATCGTTCAACAAATGAAGTTCGAGAAATGTCTAAAGGAACGCCGGGGAGACGCGATAGAAACGGCCAATTATCGGTAAGAGACCAATTACGGGACGTTAATTGCAGAAAAGACCCGCGGCGACGACCGATACCGCGAGCGCGACTCACGAGGTGACCGGCGCGTCGACGTAGCCCCAGCTAGAGTCCCTCCAATGCGTCGCGCAGAGCGAGAGGGCGAGATATTTCTTTCTCTCTCGCGTCGTTTCGCGGTAGCTGCCCGCTGGTCAAACCCTGATCGGGCCCGGTGAGAAATGATTTGTCGGTCGACGTCGAGTCGGGCGCCGAAATAAGGCGAAGAAGAAGAAGAAGGTCGATTCGACATCGATCGACGAGCCATTTCTCGCCGGCGAGGGACTCTGGCCCCAACCTCGGCGGCTCCCGCGCTTCAACGTCTAACGATTTCAAGAGACGTTCCGAGTGATCTTCGGTCTGCGATCGAGATCACAGGACGAGAATACGCACGTATATGCACCTGTCGGCGACAAGATGAGCGCGAGGCGCGCGTCCGATGCTATCGATGCGAAATATCGGCGAGCGAACGTCGATCGCGCCGAGCGGGAAAAACTGTCGCGTCCGGCCACAGTTCCGCGACTCGCGAGGTGCACCGGTGCCAACTTCGCAGCAATGAAGTCGCGTCCAAAATGCCTAATTTCTACCGATGTAAATTAACCGTGATCTTGGCTTAAATTACTTTTTACTCACTTCTAATTCGTGAAATTAGAAAGGGGTGAAGAGTAAGTCGAGCCGAGATTAAAATTGGAAATTTGACGAAAAGAAATGGACATAAGCGTAAAACGCACGCATCTACCCTTGTTATTACTTCGCAATTATTTATTTGATTGACAAATCAAATATATTCCAGTACATCTTGCACCAATCTCTCTCTCTTTCTTTCTCTCTTTCTATTGCGCCACATTTGAATCGTACATTATGTACAGTACATGTGAAACCGACAGAATAAATAATCACAATACATATAATAAAGACCGATACACTTTGATCGCGGAACCTTCGAGTTGATAAGGGATTAAAATTGCAGAAACTATATATATTAAGATTAGGCGGTTATAGTCTCGCTGGATGCGCCAGACAGTATATATATATAATATATATCCAAATGTGATCTGTCTCGAACGCAGCTAGTCGCGGTATATAATAATAATTCTCTTCTACATTCGTTACCTCGCCATACACATATCATACATTCATACAGGCATGTGTGCATACGCATGTATTTACACGTATCGCTCAGCTCTTCTCCTTCTCTTTCAACGCTTTAATTTTTCGACCTAGCATATCGTATACGGAGGGATTTGGCTCAGTCTCCTGGTCCGTGTCGGAGCTGCAATCGCTGTCGCTCGAGTTGTCGTACGTGCCGAGACCAGGCAGTATACCGATACATTTCAGCCCGGCATATTCGTTACTGGTGTCCACTTGATTTGGTATAGCCTTGTCGTTCTGCTTATTCGACTCGGGACTAGGGAGCGAGGTATCCGCCGCCGGCTTGCAAGACGCAGGCGGTTCTTTCTTCTTACTAGAATCGGCGTCGTCCTCGGTTGGGGACAGTTTCCTCTTTATGCCTTTGAGTGCCTCACCTGCGAACAAGACATCGGCATAATTAACGTATTATACATATAATACGTCGTCTGCAATGCGTGGCGTAAACTTGAAGTAAGCCCGGAATAAGGAGTAGAAGTAAAGAAAGTCAATCAGTTTTATTTCCTACTCTTACTTGAGCTCTTACCGTTTGCTCTCGAATCAGGACGCTACCGGCCAGTGTTAGAAATACTTCAAAAGCTGTGCTTGCATTTTAGCTTCCTCACACGAAAAAGTAAAGATTATGAATTGAGACGGGAAACTTACAGTCAACCCAACTGGCTAGTAGTTTAATCAGCTTATTACACAACGTTTCGACCCTATTCTTTTGAGCCCTTTTCGAGTGATACTAAAGCCCGTATCAGACTACGGATTGAGATTAGATTGAAATTTGACCAATCACAGTAAAGTTTACTAATCTCAAGTTTAGTAACTTTAACTCTAATTGGTCAAAGTCCAGTCTAATCTCAATCCGTAGTCTGACACGGGCTCAAGGGTGCAGTCAGGCTGCCGCTATAAATGCTTCGAAGCGTTTCTCCTCTCTTTGTATCTTTACCGAAAGAAAAGAGAAGAAGAATACTTCGTAACATTCAAAGCGACAGCTTGACCGCAGCCCAAGTCAGTATACGTGTGAGCACTGTGGTAGCTGGGCACGAACTGCGAAAGATTATGGTTTTCTCTTACTCGTCACGCCAGGCTCACTTCACGCATTGTACACGAAATATAAAAGACTCTTCAGAACGTTTTCGTTTCAGACGTCCGTTTCGAGAACCTCACCTGGTTTTTGCTTGTCGGATCGTTTCAGTACGACGCCCACGGGTAACTTCAGCTGCGAGGTGCGGCTGCCGAAAGAAATAAAGCTGAAGTTAACTTTCATCATTAGACTGTTAGACTGTTAAAGAATTCGTCTCTAGATTTCAATTTTGCCCGACATAGACGGTACCTTCCGCAGGCGGTGTTTTTGCTGCTGACAGGCGGGTTCTTCAATTCCTGTTTCAACTTTTCGCTCAGCTTCTGCTCTTGGAGAGAAGCAACCGCGGCTTTAAAGTCGCGCATTTCCTTCTCTTCCTCCAGGTTCTTCTTACGCTCCTCCTCCATCTTCGTTCTGTCGACCAAGTCCAAAAACTCTACTTCGTCGTCATCCAATCCCTTGATCATATTTTCTGAAAACAAAAATAATTGTTAGAACGATGTTAAACTTTACCAATAGACTTTAGGGTATGAAACTGCTGCGCTTGACCCTTCCATGACCACTGGGAGTGGCACACACACAAGTCTTAGTTATATTTTTCGTCTCATTCCGTGGAATGCCAGAGTCCCATTAAAAATAACAATGAACAACAGTAATTTGGTCATGAAAGGGTTACATTCAGACATTTTCGTAATGTCAAGATAATTTCAGATCATATTAAATCTAATAAGCAAATAATCGTCGCGCAGACAGTATACAAATTTGTAAAGAATCAAAGGATGATAATAAAATATAATATCAAAATAGGACAAATCAATTTGCTACAACAGGAACAGAAATGCATATCAATAGAAGAGTCCTCTATTATGAGACAAACTTATAATAGTACCAAGATAGTGGAGCTTCTGCTAAATTAACAGGCACCATCTGTTCTTCCACCATGAATTTATTGCCTGGACTGAAATCTGTTTAGTGGAGAATCAATTAGATTGTATGGTCATTGCGAAAAAAGATTTGTGGTTGAAGTTGGACGTTAAAAACCCACTATCTCACATTTCAAACAGATGACTCTGTTAATCGCCACAATGCACGAATTTATATAAATCAGAGCAGGATGACAGTAAAATAACTTAATATATTGGGAGCCAAAGCACGTATCAAACTCTTAAGTCCAATGTCCACGATGCTAGAACTTGG